GTCATCTGATACAACCAGGGCTGTGGAGTCGGTAGATAAATGTTCCGACTCCGACTCCTCAGTTTTTTGTACTTCCGACTCCGACTCCTCTGTATTAATATGCGAAGGCATATGCGAATATGCGAAGGCAGGAAAGAAAGGCAACATACATGTCATTACCACAGGACTACTGGCTGGGAAGCCAACAGTCTACTGTATTGAACAGTTTAAGCAAAAGACAAACACAATGAAAACAACAAAGTTTTATTAATTTTTTTTTTATTAATTAATCAGATGGCTGGATAGTAGCAGCAGGCATAAACATCAGGAACAGGAACTTTACCAGTCCAAAAATACAAACCACATTATTTGGTTGTTTTAGAACAAAAAACAAAGCTTATCTATATGAACCAAAAACAAAATCTGTAAAACCTAGAAATGGTTTATATTAATCTTGAAATGTAGTTATAGGCTTAGCAAATGCAAATCAATTCAATGTAGAGTTCTAAGGAAGAGAATTGCCTCTGCCAGATCCTCTTTCATAGAGGCTCTTAAGTCAGACTTTATTATTTTTAGGGCTGAAAATAATCTTTCGACACTGACATGGGTGGGTGGCATTGCAGTAACTATTCTGGCCACATCACTAACGATCTCTGGATAAACAAGGATGGCTTCTTCAACAGTAAGTTTTGATGAGCAATCATACTTTTCAACTTCTTCTAGTGCTTTATAAAACTCCTGTTGGAATTTTTTTATTTGGACATTTACTGGTTCTGTAACGCTTATGCAACGTCGCTTTCGTTTACCAACTTCTATTTTGTTTAAGAAGGAATCAAAGTCTAATTCTTCGTTTGAAGAAGATGATCCTGAGTTACCACTATTGCTTAAAAAAACTTCATCCTGTGGAGGTATTTCAGGTCGTAATCCCTTCATGCGAACTGCTACATCATAGAGGGCCTTTTTCCCAGTAGCAGTCTGTTCACTGTTCAACAAAATTCGGCTCATTGGGTCGACATAAATAGCCGCTAACAAGATTTCATTTTCCAGCAAAAGACTCTCTCTTTTCATCATTCAAGATGCAATGCCCTCAGCTATTAACCCTCCATTTTTGTTCAGGCGATATAACAGGCTCTTCCATTCCAAGAGGAATTTACCTGGGGTTAGATCGTCACATTGCAACCTCTTGGTGACAGTGAAGGGGTGAAAAAGAAGGTTCTCCAGCTCTTTTGTTTGTGCCCACTGGCTTTCAGTTAATGCAAGATTTTCATTGTCCATTTCTTCTATGAAGTCTTTAAGTTCAAGCAAACGCTTCACCATTAAATAAGTGCTTCCCCAGCGAGTTGTTTGATCCAAAATGGCTCCTTTTCCTGCACGTCTTTTCAAAATTGCATCTGTTTTCGGGGCCCTGGCTGCAACAGTTACTTGCCGTAATTTGCCAATTAGTGTAGCTGCATAGCGATCTTTTAATCCATCTCTTATGGCAAGTTGCAGTGTATGAACAGCACATCGCATATGATGAATAGTAGCAAGCTTCAATGCTTCTTCAACAAAGTTGTCTAAAAAAATGTCAGCATTCTCTTCAGTTTCTAAACTTTCTCCAATACTTGCAGAGCTGTCTACCTCTAACTCTAATATCTGTTTGTTGCCTTCTTCATCTGCGTTCATCTTCTCAATTGTGCTCAACATGTTAGAAGCGTTATCTGTCACATAAAATCTGTTCCTTTTTTAATTTCAAAATCTTCTAGAACACCCTACACTAACTTCTGAAGGTAATCACTGGTGTGATGTGCCTGAGTGTCCTTTAATCCGAGGGTCCGTGTTATTGTTTTGTTATTTTTCATCCACAAATCTAACATTAATAGCGAAATAATTGACTCTGTGACGTGTGCATGCATCCATTTTAAGGAAGACAAAACGTCCTTTCAGAACTTTCTATAGTTCTTCCTTTTTACATTTGGCCTCCTCAATTATAAGTTTCCTTATACTTTCTCTTTCCAGAGAAACAGCAAGTTGTTTTGCCATTTCTCCATTTAGGCCTAAAAAGGCTGTCTGTGAAAAGAAGGATAGTGGTAAACTATTCTTTACTACCATTTCAATAATGTGGTGTTTGAATTTTTCTGGTGTCATCCTTATGGTAACTTTGTCAGATATAAAGAATTTTCTTATTTTTGATTGTTCTCCAGTAGATTTCTGAACGTTTTTTGTCACAGAAGTAGATGCAATGTTTTCATTGCTATCTTTCTCATTCACGGTTTCTAACACTTTGGGATGAAAACGCTGTAAGTGTCTTTTCAAATTTGATGCTCTTGTAGATGCATTTTTATCAGGCCCACTGAAACTGCTAATTTTTGCATCACATTGTTTTTCACCATCATCATCTTTTCTAATACATTGGCACACGTAATGTTTTCCATCACTTGATAATGCAAAGTGCTCATAAACAGTAGACTTTGTCGTGTTTGTTGTTAGCAGTCTTTCTGCAATTGTTTAGGATGCCTCTTTCCCTAAAATATAAAATATGTTATACTAACTGGCATATAATTAGATTTTTAATATCAACATACACAGTCTTGTAAGTTGTACGTACATGGCTTTATACAAACAAATAAGCTATATATCCCAGCACTAAACCTAGACATGATTTGTCCTATACAGAAAAACATGCACAGACATGTACTGTACGTACACACACACACACAACACAGAGCCTACATTTTAGTACTCAGAGCATATAAACAATCTGCACTATACATAAACATTCATGCATTCCTGCAGCACCAAACTTACAAACCTAGGATAGACAGTTTCTTCCCAGAAACATGTACACATGTCTTCCCTCATACTGACAAGCAGGCATGCAGGTTTTAAAATAAATATAAACACAGTTGAATCCAAGAAGCTGTTCCACCAAGTTCTTCTAAGCTCTTCTAGCAGAGAGAGGTGGTTGGGCAGAAGCTGCTGCCTTCTCCTTTTTTGTGTGCTGATCTGCTGCTGAAGATAGGGCAGTGGGAGGATCCAGGAAGGGGCATTTATTATAAAACATGATTTCCCTAGTAGAATCCCATAGTCATGTTTAAAGTTTAAGCTAACAATCGGAGTTTAAAAGTTTTTATAGTCTTAGCTAAATGACAGCAGTTTTTCCAATGGTTTACAGCTTCAGTCTTGAACTATTGACCCTCCATTCCCTTCACTTATACAAGGGTCTCTAGTCCTGCAAAAAATATATTTACTTAATCCCTTATCAGTGAGAGGCTAGGTTACCCATGGGCGCTGCGTTCCCTGTAACAGCAGAACACAACACTATGGAAAGTATAAGTATTGTGCGTTGCGTGCCATATAGTGAAGCACATGAAAAGCATGCTTCTTCACGGTCACTTAACGTGTTCGTTTTGCGGTTACGTGAGGCGCTGCATGCATTGGTCTTTATTCTTACAGTAGAGAAGTCATTAATTATAACTTTTTGTGAATTGGGACATTTAAACTTGCTTTTTTTTTTAATTCCAATTAAATTTAATCGGAGTCGGAGCATTGTTTGCCGACTCCGAGTACCCAAAATTTACTCCAACTTCGACTCCACGACTCCGACTCTGACTCCACAGCCCTGGATACAACTGGATTTTGTTTGGCATCCGCCATGACTCGCTCCTTAACACGAATATAATAAATACATGCTAGAGTGTCCCTGGGAGCTGTCAGGGAGAAACTTAGGTTTGGGTATGCAGTGCGCTGTATCTATGCACAGCTCAGTGTCGGTTAAAGTGGGTATGAGGACTTTCATAAGGCGCTGAATAAAGTTGGTGAGCTCAGCAGGGGGTACTGATTTGGGTATGCCCTAGAATTTTATATTGTTCCGCCGTGAGCGGTCCTCCAAATCACCTATTTTGTTCTGTAAATGCTGAAGCTCAGATTCTTGATCAGTATAAGCGTTGACTAGGTCATTATTGTTTGCCATTTGTGATTCTAAATGGTCAATTTTGTCAGTGTTTTGTACTGTATCATTAAGTGAATCCAGCATGTCAGAGAAACAAGCAGAGATCTCAGGGAAAGCAACATATTTTTCATCATGTGTTCAGGAGTTGGCTGACCTATGGCAGGAAATGGAGTGCCTGGTTTTAGCAGGGTTACGTGTGGTAGGATTTGCAGGGGGTGAGCACTTACCGATATCACGTCGTTCCTCGTCACCTGAGGACCTGTGTGTGAGCGGGTGGAACCACCGGAGCTGGAGCCAGCCTGCACCATCTTGCTTTCCCCTCATCCCGCCGCTGGGGAGAGCCTGTGAGGCTTGGACGGTTTCCTCCGCTTTAACATGGCTCCCGGGGGTGCAGTGCTTGAAAGCAAGAACAACAGTGAGTGTTGAGTCCCTCCCTTGTGTCCCTAAGTGTCCCTAAGATGCCGCTATGTATGAGAGGCTGGAGGAGCTTTTGGTCAAGCGGCCATCTTCTTAGCCAGCCAGACACGCCCCCGCGAGAGATCGCTTTTATTATCTGTGATGACCTAATTACTGGGCTTTGTAATTTTTTTTTTTTGTTGGAGCATCTGCTTGGAGCTTGGTTTATTTTGGCATAGGCATAACCCCAGATCTACATCCTCCAAGAGCCCTTTTCTTACAGTGTATGGGCAGAATCCTAGGTTTGAAGAGAACACCATTTTTTTGAATGAATGTATACATGTAGCATAGGAGGTAGAGAGGTGGAGAAAAATGAACAGTGGATGTTAACACATAAGACCTCATTGCATCTATTCGCCTTTAAAAAAAAAAAAAAATGCCATTTTACATTAATTCATTCCCCTTTTGGGCAGGGGTTTCCTATGTAGATGGACACATGCAGAAAGGGGGCTGTATTACAGAAGGGAGGCAAACAGATGTTATTCAGTTTCCTAGAAATCACAAATTACTTGTAATTTTAAATAAATACACTTCTTTTGATTTAATGTTTCTATTTAGCAAAATTGTATCACATGTATATATTACATTTATTTTGTGATGTTCAAGCTAAAGAAAAATACTTTTCTGTTCCTAAAAAAGATGGAGAAGCTGAAAGCTGAATTAGATGAAGCAAGACTGAGTGAGAAACAGTCACATCAAAAGTTAGACCATCAGGCTGTGCTGTTGGCTAATAAATCTGAGGAACTTCGAATGATGTCTGAACGTGCTCATGAAACAATGTCTTCAGAAATGATTACAATTCAGCTTGAGATGCATGCGCTAGAAAGTGCCAAGGTGAGCAGTTTATCAATTGTATCATTTACTATAATCAAACATGTGGTGTTTTTTTTTTTTTTTTTTTTTTAATAGATATGCAAGAAGACAAAATAAAAAAAAAAACAAACAAAAAAAAAGTATGGGACATGTATAATCTATTTGTATATTTCAGGACTTTTTTTTTCCCAAGTCCGACAAATCTAAAATATTCTATTTCATATTTTACAACTCGCACCAACAGGTGGCAGATAACTGCAGCTTTTGTACTGCTGTCAATAGCCTGTAAAATCTGATCCTCTTCTATTCAACTTGATTTAAAAAACATGCCCTGGAATCAGAGGAGGCAGTATTAACTTCTGACCTGTATAGATTGTTGATGGGTGTTCGGAGCACCCTATGTTTATTTATAAAATATAATTTAATGCAAGTAACTCTAATTTATAAATGATCAGTTTATAAAAATTATACATTTGACTCAGTGCTGCAACACCCCCCCCGTCATAAATTAACATCTTTGTGGTAAGTTCTGTCTGCTGGTGGAGCAAAAAAGCCTTGATGCCCCCAGCTATCTCAGAAGCATGTGAGTGCCCTTCACAGCGCCCATAGGAAAGCTGGCAGTGGGTGAGATTAGTAACCACTTATCAATCGCAGTGATTAGAGAGAGACAGCAGAGGAAGCTTCTTAGTAAACTTTCCCTGCTGAGTAAACTTTCCCTGCTGACTGTCATACAGCATCTGCTTTCGCTTACAGATGGAGATCTGCGTGACAGACAGTTGCCGTAGAAAAAAAAAAAATAAAAAAAATAAAAAATACACTCAAAAAAAGTACTTTCTCTCCTCCAACTTTTAGTGTTTTTTTTCTTTTTTTTTCTTCCAGCATAAGCTTAACCAAAGATGACATATGCTGTGCTAAATATCTGCACACATATCATGCATGCACAGCTTATCTGCACATGTGCAAAATTGTCCAAAACCCCTGCATAAGCTCAGACACACTGCAAAGTCTGTTATGTCCCTTAGACTGGCAGAGAACTTTGGTGTGTCTGCACTTGTACGGGAGGTTTTAGCACCAATGTGAGGAGTTAACTGCTTCCACAGAATTGGACGCACAGGATGCTTTCTCTACTGAATGTACAATATCTGTCCTTATTGATGAAGTGTATTCCTGCCTTGCCTTAGAGAATCCTGAGTCTGACCACAATAAGGTTTCTAGCATGGGATCCTTGGAAATGCTCACACCTTACCTATTCACTGACTGTTAAAGCTGGTTTTATACAGTGACTGGCCACACCCCGAAAACATCTTCACATCTTTCAGACACCTTGCTCAGCAATATCCTATTGAGGAGGGGTTACTGAAAAAAATGGTCTATCCCTGTCATGGACCCAAAAATGTCCTACCCTTTTTTTTTTTTAAAAAAAAAAAACAAACCTCTTGAGGATGTTTGTGCTTTTAAAGACCTGGAGATCACAAGCTTAGAAACCTTCTTTAAGCCTTCTTTTGCCCTCGATGATTTTGCTATGCTAACTGCTGTAGTACCTATGTCAATTTGTCAAACTCTGCCTGTCTGAGTAAAATGTATGGGTCATTACCTTGGTTACATTTTAATAGATCCCTCTACTGGTAGGTGGCCCGACACTAGTGCGTAGATATGTTGACCAATATGCTTCACTAACTGTCCAGTTTGAGCATGCTTTTTGCACACATACTGAGGATCCTCTGGGTAAAAATCTGGTTAATGAAACTTCTGTGTAAGATGTTCCTCCACCAGATGCCCTTTTGAAGTACATCGACTTTTCTGTTCCTCCTGACAAGTGCAAGAAGGAAATAACTGGGGTGAGAATACTGTCCTCATCCATAAAATGAAGGCTCATGTCCTGCAAGCAGGCTTTCTAGAAGAGTTCCTTTCACCCTCTCAGCCCCCAGGCTCCAAGCTAGAACCTGGGGCAAGTGTCTTTCAGAAGCCTGACGATTGTGGGAGCAAGCCCTCTTTATAATGAAGGGATGCTACACTTCTCCAAGTAGGGGAACGCCTGTCGTCCTTTTCTGCCATTTGGTCACAGCACAGCATAGTATCCAGGGGCTACAAATTTGAGTTTTAAATGCTGCCTTCCTTTCTGCAGAGAGGATGAAAAACTGGAGAGCATGAAGCAAAGGCAGGTGGATCTACATGCTGCGGTTCAGCAGCTTCTTGCACAGGGGGTTATTGCCCCCATTCCAGAAGTGCAGTTCTTTCAAGAGTTTTACTCTAACCTGTTCATTGTTTCCAAGGCAAATCGAGCCATTTGTCCATTCCAAAGTGGTTCTAAAGGCAGATATATTTTTACCTTAATACATTCTATGCAATAAGGTAAAAATCCTTCTGTGTGCAGCTCTTAACCCCAAGCCCCCCTTATACTTACCCGAGCGCAATGCTGATCCTGTACTCTGCTCTCTCTCATCATTGGCTTACAGGCAGAAGTGGGAGCCATTGGCTCCTGCTGCTCTCAATCACAGCCAGTGAGGAGAGAGTAGGGGGCAGAGCTAAACCGCACTGTATGTATCAGTGGACACAGCATGTGGCTTGAGATCAAGCCTGCATGAGTGCTCCCATAGCAAGCAGCTATGGGGGCCTTGGACACCATCAAAGGACATACATTCAGTTTCAGGGAATTTTCCTTTGTTAAGGCCTTTGTGCAGAAGTTGTGCATAGCTATTGCTTCCCTTGTACAAGCCCATTGACACTGTGGGACCATAAACTGCTTCTCTGAGACCTTCAGAGGCTGCCCTTTGAACCTATTGAGGATATTCCCTTATCAAATTTCACTCGCAAGGTGGATTTTCTCTTGACTGTTACCTCTGTGAGGTGGGTCTCTGAGTTAGCGGCCTAAACAGAACTAGGGACTGCCTGCAACTCAAAGATCCACCTGAATGACCTTGTGCACAAAGCTGGCATCAGATGTGGCCTGAACATTCACCTGAAAAATCTTTGAAAGCATGTGAACAGAAAACCAGATGGCAGTCTTGCAAATCAGGGAAACCGCAGCCTGATGCTGAAAAGCACTAGGGCAGTGGTGGGCAACCTTTTTTTTTCAACTGAGCCAAATCTCGCCAAAACCACGATTTAAATTTATTTTGAGAGCCACATTTTTAAAACTGAAAATACATAGGATGGTACACTGTTTTTAGTTTCAATAAGTTTTTATAGTAATTCATCCCCCATAGTAATTCATCCCCCATATAGTAATTCATCCCCCATATAGTAATTCATCCCCCCTATAGTAATTCATCCCCCATATAGTAATTCATCCCCCATATTAATTCATCCCTCATATAGTAGTAGTAAGTAAGTAGCAAGTAGTAAGCCAAGTCCCCCCTGTGTCAATTCACTTACCTTTGCTCCGTGCATTCTTCTCGCCGTGTTCCCGCGCCGTTCCGGTCTTCAGGGTGGACTGTGAGAGGAGCCTAGCTCCTCTCACGTTCGTCACGCTGCCCCGCCTACACACATCCTGACAGCCAATCACTGGCTATCAGGATGTGAGTGGCAGCGAGACTGGCCAATCATTGCATTTGAGCGCGCTGCCCTGGCTGTTTTTTTTTTTTTTTTGGAGCACGCTCCGCGGTCCGGATTAAAAGGTCCGCCGGGCCGTAGTTTGCCCATTGCTGAGCTAGCTGCAGACTCCTGACTTTTGGGGCGGCCGCCCGAGAGGAGGGAGGGGAGGGAGCGGGCGCCCGGCACACAGAAGAGCCGCATTTTTAAAGTGTGTAAAGAGCCGCATGTGGCTCGCGAGCCGCGGCTTGCCGACCACTGCACTAGGGAATCTAGAGGAGTAAATCTCGACAGAAAAGTGTGGAATCTGATCTTTGAGATTGTAAGCTTGAATGATGGTTTGTCTGAACTATCAAGAAATAGTGGAAAGAGAAGCTGGTTCTCCATTTTGAGGGCTATCCGGAATGACAAAGAATCAGTCTTTCAACTAGGTGCAGTGACTACAGAGTCAACCAAAGACCGACACAATCTATATTCAGGCAATGAGGAGAGATCTCTTGATGACCTGGAGTTGGACAGAGGGGTGGAAGAACGATGTCTTGGTTGTGGTGACAGGCCAAAACTACCTTAAGAAGGAAGTTATGGTCCACAACACCACCTTGTCCTTGTGTAAGACCAGAAATGGCCCTTTACAGTATAAGGCTGCCTGTTCAGACACTCTCCTCATAGAGGTGATGGGAACAAGAAATGTGGAGAGTGGAAAGGGGAAAATGTCACTAATGAGGTTCAAAAGATGTTTTTCAAAATGCTGAGAGAACCAGATCACAGGTAGTGCACAGAACGATATATGAGAAGGCCCTCATCAAAGAACACCAAAATAATATATCTTCCACTTTTTTAGTTATTTAATTGACATAGGCTCAATATAGTCTTGAAGTTGCTCTTAAAACCTGCAACAAATTAAATTTTCAGAGACTACTGAATATTTTGAATATATTTATCAGCTCCTTGAAGAAAACCTACTTTAAAGATTTCCAATTGTTACAGGAGAAATTTAGGCTTCCCAACCACAGTTATTATCAATACCTACGAATACGGCATACCTTCTTGTTTTGGAGGCCCAATGACACAACTATACTGACTTCTAAAATGTCAGTAGATACCTAAAAGAGAAGTATGGCCAAAGTTTTTTTTTGGCAGCCGCTGTTCTCTGCTTCAAGCAGACCAACAGCTGAGTGATCAGTGGTCATGTGATCATGTGGTTGACTGGACATCTTATCCTTTTTGTTACAAGAGTACCCATAAAACTGATGAAATAATTTATATTACATCACACATATCATATGCCACACACCAAATGTGATTGCAGAGATTTCAAATGGGCATGTAATACATATGTTCTGGTCATGTCCCAAATTGTTTAGCTTTTTGGAAAATGTTACAAATACTATTAGTGGTGTTTTTCAAGCTGATGTAGTCACTGAACCCAAATTGTCATATTGGGCTATTTTGATTAGGAACAATTCATACCACATACTCTTACTATCACT